GAAGACGAAGACGTCGAAACGTTAGCCGAAAATAAATATATTTATCAACCTCGTGTAAGCTTATCAAGAAAGAATACAAATAAGATAATGCTGGGATCAGTCCCGTTGAGGGGTGATTGCTGATGGCGCCGATCAATGGAACTAGCTGAGAAACAGGGGAAACGAAGGACCCGCATGGTGTGGTGGTGAACGCGCTGTTCCCCGGAAAGGACAATAGCGCGTCCGTTCCCCCCCTTATACACCTGCAGTCCGGATTTTTGCCAATATCTCAGCATTATCTTAGCTTTATTTCACATGATACCCTGTCGTTAAAAATTATAGTAGGGGGTAAATACAAAAGGTTAAGCTTGAGGTGAATTAGATATAGCTTTTTAGTCCTTCGACGAGCAGCTCGTAGTCTTTTGTCGGGCTACCCTTAATCTGTCACTCATATTTAGTTAAGATTTCGGCCAGAGTGCTCTCGTCAAATGCAGCTACACATTTTTCTCTCGGTCGATGACATAAATTTGTCTCCCGCTTGCGGGTGAAACCAATCCTCGCGCGAAGAAGGTAGTGATCGGAACCAGTACAGAATGACGAGACTACCGATGTGTCAAGTAAGCACCATCTTCTGTTTGTGAGAATGTGGTCGATTTCTGCATGAGTTGTGCCGTTAGGAGGCTCCCACGTTCCGCCGCGGCTTTCTTTCTCCTAGTAAAACGAGTTTTCAGGAAAAAGACCTGCTGCAGAAATGATTCGCGCGCGAGGTTTCCACTTTTATTTCTTTCTCTTAATCCGAAATTTCAGTTCCTGAATTTCCTTTCTAGTGGCCTCTCCCATTTTGGTGTTGAAGTGTCTGACGACAAATTTGTAATGTGCTTTATCATTGCGGAATACTTCCTCTAACTAATAGTAAAACGCACCTAATTCGTAGTCATCAGCTGAGTCGGTCGATGAGTAGCAATTGATGATTATGACCTTCTTATGACGCTTCAGCTGAAGATGGAGGAACGTTGTGCGACTGGAAAGGATCTGGTATGACTCAACAAGATGGGAAATGGACAGGTGGGCGACGAAGCCTGCGCAAACCAACATTTCGTCACGGGTCCTTTTCTCCACGGATGACGAGGGTCCCGTTGTTCAGTGGGCATATGTCGGTCTTCTTAATTTTTGCTTCCTATAGTACGATCACATCAAATTTAGTGCAATTTGCCGCTTCAAGAAGAGCGTGAGGATCGGCGCCTGCGGAGAGTGTCTTGGCATTATACGTGTAAATCTCCGCGGCGTTTCGTGTGTATGTTGATCAGATCCGGCCCCAATGACGTGGTGCGTAACCCGAGATTTTGTAGCCTCTCACCTGTGCTTCACTGTCTAACGTCACAGATGGGAGCATCCAGTGTGCTTTGTACTGAGGCTAGTCTATTGCTGGTCGTGCAACTTCATCTTTTCTGGTGTCCTAACTTAATCTTTCGTGGGTGTATCCAGGTCTTCACCACTAAGTGGATGCGACGGGTGCCAATTTGATCAACTTGGGATACTCGGTTGTTATTAGATATGTTGCACGCTGTATGTTGTAAGCACAATATTTTTTGAGGATTAATTTTTCTTACATCCGTTATACTTACTGTGATAAGATTATCTAGCTTTTTATAAAGTCAAGCTGTATTGAAGCATCTTTGTTATTTTTGTATTACTGTATTTATTTGCTATGCTAATCATCTTCAAGGGTTGTACTCCATAGGAATATTCTTTCTGCGGATATACCATCTCCTTTAAGCCATTCTCGTCGGTACTGCTTGGCTGGACCCTCAGGGGTGTTGCACCACTCAACGACGATACGATTATTGTTGGTATCTTCGCGTGCATACTCGAAACTATGGCACGACACAGCCATTAGTGTTGCTTCCTTGACGTCGAGCATGCCTCAAGCCGGATCGGCATTAAGAACCTTCATTTTTGTCGTTTTAATGGACCATCAAACGCGTTGTCCAGAAGCGTCGAAGATCTTGATGTGGTAGGTGTGCTTGTCGTCGTACAGTGCATTGAAGACAATCTTGAAGACAGGAAGGCGAATAGCACAGTTAAATGATAGCCGGTTCGAAAAATATTCTCAGCACAGTGTTTTTCTCTTCCAAGACAGGCTTGGCTTTAATTAGTCGAACTCAGTGAGGTGGCATTGTGTTTTGCAGCGCAGCTCTAATAACTATTCATGAGAATCTCTTCATTTAATGCTTTAACACCAGCACAAAATATAAAGACTTTTATGAATTTGGCGTGTGCGATGAGATGTTTAAATGGTCCATCCTAATACGCTACCACTAGTGTTTCACAGGGTGCTCCTAGATATCGGACTGTGGTGTACAGCAGAACGCTTACCCCACCCTATCAGAGCCTCATGTTTTCTTCCGAAATCCCACCTAGGAGTAAATCACTACTAGGATTCATCGCTGTACTATTATTAAAATACTCGCAAGATCGCAAATCATTTGCTGATCCACATGTCCAAAAATTGCTCAAGGTAGAGATAATCAAAGAAAGACTCCCGCTAGGCTGTCTTCAAAACCAATGAACCACAAGTGCCCTAACAACTATTAGACCAACCTCATTACTTCCCAAACAGGACGCTGCTGTATACGACCTTGGACGGTGAGACAACCCGTGAGCTGTTGTTAAATATGCGGTTGTCATAGTTTGAAGAATTTTCAGTTTAGATTTGTTTGTAAATATGTTTCTGTTCATGAGTGCGTTTAGCTCAACACCACGGAGTTTTGGCAAAGTCAGAAAGCTCATTTACCTGCTAACTAGAGAATAGTGGGCTTTGCGAATCGTGAAATATCTTGTGAACTTCGATATAATTTTCTTTTCGACTGGTAGTCCACTGACTTCAATGATGCTGAGATATTTGCAAAACTCCGGACCACAGGTGTCTGCGGTGGGGAACGAACGCACTACTGTCCTTTCCGGGGAGTAAAGCGTTCTCCAACACACCATGCAGGTCTTTCGTTTCGCCTGTCTCCACTAATTGAGAAGGTTTGAACTTTCCTTTAAAAAACGGTGCTGAAGGTTTCCTAGCTCGTTACCAGATGCTATTCTATGGTTACTTTGTGGTCGGGTTGCATGGATTTCTAGCACAGGTTTACTGTTAGGTAAATTTTCAGATGGAAATTTCGCACTCCTTCTTAGATTGAGTGACCACGCTATGAGTCAAGTGAACACTTGGTGTATATTTTAGTTCGATACCTAAGAAAATCTTCAGCTACGATGCAGCAAGCCATCGGAAGAGTTCACTTCGTGTACTGAAATTTCTTTTTCGGTAGAACGAGCTTTGGAGTTTCGTTTTCCAAAAATAATCTTGAAAATGAATGATGTTAAGTCACTTTTTTGACAAGTATCAACCGCAGCAAATGAGAGAACGAAAGGAGCCGCAGTACCAGAATTCCCTTATATTCATGTAATACCAGTGTTTAAGAACGATTACATGAAATCCGTTCCATTTCTTTAAAAGAAGGAAAAAGAAAATGAATCATGGTTAGTCTCCTTAAATGGTGTGAGTTCTTCCTATCTTCCACATTTGATAGACTATTAGGTTAATCGCAATGCTCTCTGACAAGTATTCAGTAGACAGATATCGTAGTAGGTTGAACGCCGACTAAATGTACTCATGTGTTCTAGCAAAAGCAGCAAATGTGACTAATTGATGTGGCTTATGACGTTGTTTTCTGTCTTCATAAACAGCTAGTTAATGCGTTCACAAGTACATGGTTGAGGGTCTGATTGATCTTACCAGTTACATAACCGCCTCAGTAATGGCAAAACCTCACAACGCCGACAAACGCAAAGAAGAAATTAAAATACCAGGGAAAGAAAGAAAAGTGGCAGAAGCCTTTAGATGAATAAAGGTAGTTCTGTTTTATGGCCAAGAAGAAAAGACATCTTTCATGTACCCTTTTCCGTAAGGTGCATTTAGAAGCTGGTTTGTGTTGCAGTCCTTATCAACACTATTATTGCTAGAGACTTCAACATGATCAACATGAGTTGGAGTTCTCGTTGAAGTGGACGACGCGAGAGGCGCAAAGTTTTTAGCTTTATGACATTACTGTATATTTTTGCCACTTATCAAAGTAGTTAATTGCACAATTTTGATCACCAACCGTTATAGAGAATGGATTACTTTAAAGACTTAATTACCACCACTAACTAGTGTGCACTGGCTTCAGTGTCCATGGCTTTTGATCGTTGAGGTGAATGATGGATTTTTTTTTCTCCTCCTTTTTGCTAGGGCGTGTGAAGTGCAGTGGTCGGAGCTGCCCTGCAATATACATATGGTCGATTCTCCACCCCGATCTCATGAAGCTCTCCATTCCTCCGATGTCGGCAAAGTGGTACTAGACATGTCTGGCAAGAAAGCAGCACTGGCTCGATACATCGGTAGGCCACCGCGAGTCATTGTACAAGTCAGATACGCATTCAGTCACTTCCAACGATGTTTAGTGAAGTCAGATACATGGTTCGTCCCTCCTGGATTAATCAATACCGGAAGCTTTTTAGCATCACCTTTTTGCTGCATGCGAGTTCTAACCGTTTTTCCTTAAATCCTATATAGTGTCAAGGTTTCTGAGCTTACTAAAGCCAGGAAACAAAAATCGTTAAGTCTGAAGTTAACCACGGAGACGAATGTTTCTCTCATTACTGCACCCGTGTCAGTAGTATGTGCTCCAAAAGATATTTCATGCCTTTTCTCGAGTCTGTTGCTCAGTTTTTTTACTGTAACTGATTGCAAATATTTTTTCATACTTCAGTGGATTTTGTTTTCCTGGAGATACGCGCTGAACTAGAGGTCCTTCCCATTTTTCACCACTTCCTTAGCGCATTCATTTCTATTGCGGTGAGGTATCTCTAGCAAGTGCTACAGAATAAAAAAATTTATGTATTTAGATAACACGCTTTAGGTACTGAGGGTATGAAAGTGTCAGGTTGAATGGATTTTTAGCAAATTTTACGTGAAACCGCCGAAAGGTTAGCTGTTGTAAATAAATAATTACTGTAATAACAACCTTGTTTTCGCTCATCAAGAAAATAGTGAAGTATTCGTCAATGTCAAAATTTAAAGAAAGTCGGTCCTGGAATTTCCCTTTGTCTATAATGTGGGAGCGTCTTTTCGATGGCCCACTGAAGAAACTGTTAGCAACACTAAACAATGTATTTAGGACTTCCTTGCAATATGTTGCGCTTTCTCTTTTCTACCACAAGAAAAATCGCAGAGAAAGAAGGCTTTAGTCCTATTCGGTGGAAAACTTCGGGACTACCATAACATCAACTGGAAAATTTTAGTTAACCTATTTCTTGCAGTTCCTGTGAAATATGAATCATATCCAGCTTCTTTGATTAAGTTTGAGAACCCCACTTGTGATTGGAAGAGTGTCACATCAGAAAAGTTAAATCCCATGATTATTTTTCCATAAACTTCATATATTCGATTCGTTTTCTTACATCCACCGTCTAGTATAGCCTTCCAAGTTTTTTTTTTGCTTTCGAGTTCAGCAACCGATTAAGGATTGTTTCATTTTCACCGTGAATGCCTTTAAATGAAGGCCAAGTCGATTCTTTCTGGGATCCTAGGATGGTGGTGCTGGAGAATTTCTACGTAGATTGGAGGGAGTGGTCCGGCTGCTTACTAGAACAATGCTTCCTCAAATTATTAAGATAACACGAGGTTGATAGAAAAGATTTATTTGGCTAACGTCTTGACGTCTTTGCCTTTCTCAAAGCTTCTTAGGAAAATATTTTCTGGGAACAGTTGCTCGATGTCGGAAAGATAAGAGGCCTCCTGTGCCTTGGTTGGTATTGAAGCAGTGCCTTTTTTGCACGAAATGGCATCACTACTACTACGCTTTTCTTTAGTCGATGTTAATAAAAATTTTTCTTATGTATATGGTGCAAAAAAACGATCTAGTTCATATTGGTGCTCTCCAATGTATCACTTGAGCCTGTGACTGCTGGGTTTAGATAGGCAACTTTTTTTACGTGGCCGAAGATGAAGCCTAGAACCTGAATTTGATATTTAGTTTTTAAGACTACTAATAACAAACGAATTCCATAATATAATGGCGGAAATAATAAGTGAAATACCACTTGCCGTAGTAGGAATAAGGTCCTTTTAAAAGTTTCTTAAGTTCTCAATCTTAAATACTCCAGTGATCGAAAAATCACCGTTAATGACAGAAAATACACGCAAGTATAAGTATCAAATAATCAGGCTCTGTGTACTAAGGCTTTTTATGCAGAGCGACCACTAATAAGGTGAACCCAATTAGGGCAAATACAGACGTCACTAGCGTTTAAAATAATCACCAGACAACAACTGGACTGCAGGTGGTACTTAGGATTAAAAGACTGGAGTAGCGAGTAAAATAAGTGAAACTTGAGAGCCATTCGAAATCTGATACAAAACTTTCCGCTACTTTTTCATCGATGCTGAATTTCATATTTTTAGGAAGAAATTTCGTCGAGGCTTCAACGATTGTCATGGACAACTACCGACACTCACATCACTTGCTCTTATCAACAACACATTTCAAAGTATTGACACGGATTGCACGCAACACTGTCTCTATGTCTGCTATAACATCTGCTTTCTCATATAATCTTTATTTTTTTCTCACAGCATTATCGAAACCTCATCGAATACCGCTACAGATCACTGAAACGTTCTTACGTATGCTGTATTGTGACAGGTACCGAGGCTCTTTCCATTTAGTTCATTCCTTTTTTCAATGCACTTTTTACTCTAACTAGGAACGAAATTGACCTCTTCTTTTCTAGGTCACAAATCCTTTCAATTCTGTTTATCGAACTCCTACCTTACGTGACTGGAATAGAACTACAAGGTATTGCAGTAAAAGGCCGACTAATGTGCGGAGAGAAGCCATTGAGCGGAGCGCTGTTGAAAATCATTGATCGGGATCATGGTAATTGCTTCGATTTACAAATGTCTTCAAGCTTTTCGTCACTTCCTTCACTAGTAAGTGCTGTCAAAGTCCGTAATTAACGGAATTCTTTGAAGCCTTTGTTTTGCCTATATAACTGCCGGTAAATTAGTACAACTTGATTGATTCATAGAGTCGAATGAATGCAGCATCCATCACATGATTGATCAACGCCGAATTTATCCTATTATCCTTTATAAAACATGCACTATATTGATTATTTTTCCTTGTTGCATTCAACGACGGATCCATAAACATATTCAGAACAATGAGTCCTTCTTCACCTCTATCACCTGTAGTCCCGTTGTCGTCGAGTGACTCGACCAGGCGCCAGTTAATCTTCCATTTTTCCCTGTCGCTTGTAAGAGTAGCCCAGTGGGTTCTGTTCACTCTAAAAATTCGTTGAGTATCATATCTTTCTTTTAGGTTCTTCGTGAAGAACTCTGAGCATCGACCAGGTGGTCTTCCTGCAATACGTTTAACATCCCGAGGAATCCAGTCACTAATGGCTATTTTTCATCGGTTGTGGTTCGTATTCATTACGTGACCAGCCCACCTTATCTTTGGCTGTTTGGCTTGCAGGACGGCATCCTTGACCTCTGATCGTTGAGGCAGGTGAAAAACTTCGGATCCCATCACTTACTTGTCTGACATGAGATACTCCTGGCATCGTCCTTTCAACTGCGCTTTCAAATACGCTGAGTGGTCTTTCACCCTGCTTACGCAGTAACCAGGTTTTTGACGCATACGCTAAGGTAGGAAGTCCCGCTAAGTTGAAAAGGTGAGCACGGAGTCGGGTGTCCTTTGTTCTCTCCACTACATCCTCGATGCTCTAGAAAGCTTCCCTTGCCGCTCGTTTCCTTTTCCTCAACTTTGGAGCTAATTTGTTCCTCATGTTCATTTCCCGACCTAGATAAACATAATTGAAGCATTCGGAAATATTCTTTCCGTAAAGAGTGAATGAGGCATACGAAACCAATCCGTTCCCCATGCACATCGTTTTTGTGAGATATAGTCGAAAACCATTCTTTCCACAAGCTTTATCAAAGTTGGTAAGCATTCGTTTCGCTTGACTAATGTTTGGTGTTATAAGAACGATATTATCAGCAAATCGAAGATGGTGTGTTTGTCGACTATCGATTCCCACTCTCACGTGAACCGACTGCAAGGTTCACATAACGTTTCCGAAGGTTGCGGTAAATAATTTTGGCGAGATGGTATCGTCTTGCCTAACCCCTCTCTCGACGCAGATGTTAATATCGTTGTAGAAGGGTGATATCTTTGGCTTCCATGACTGTTTCTATCTCAGTTGAGTCAAAGGCCTCCCTTAAATCGATGAAAGTGAGACAGCAGTCTTTTGCACTCTCACGATACTTCAATAAATCTTGTTATGTGTGGATATAGTCCAACGTACTAAACCATTCTCCAAACACTGCTTGCTCACATAGCTGCCGTACGTCCAGTGTTCTGTCAATTCTGTTTACGATGACTCGAGTGAAAAGTTTGTAGGCGAAAGACAGCAAACAAATTCGACGATAGGTCCCGATATCGTGGAAGTCTCCCTTCTTGAACGGTACCACGGTCTTCCTGGTCTTCACTGAGTAGTGTGCTTGCATGCAGACGGCTCACATCTGAAGAGCCGACCTAGTGTTTTATGAGGAGTGGCGGGAGGTTCTTGAGGTGTTCAGATCTTATCCTGTCCCGACCTGGTGCTGTTCGACTTTTCACCGACGAAATAGCATGTCGGATTTCGGAAGAGAGAACTGGAGGCACAACATATCCATTCTCCTTTATTTCAACTAAAGGAAGAAAGTCGTGGCTAAAGAAGAGATCCGAATGGTATTCGTGTATGATTTTTGCTTTTGATTTTCGGGACTCTGTAACTGTTACGCCTTGGCGGGCGTCGGAGTGCAATCATCTTGGTTTTGTAGTTGGCAAAGCTTCAGTGGATTTTGCGATTGCTTTTCCCAGCCTCTGCAGCTTCGATCATTACAGTTGCTCTTCTCTGTTTAAGATGTTCTTTTCTCGTTTATCTGCATAGTTTTGCAAGTTCGAACGTTAGTTCGCGGTTGCCTGCAGCTCGTGCGATTTCACCCTGGCGTATCAGCTCTAGAGTTTCTGGAGACAGATGTCTCTTGGTGACTTTCGAATTCTCGGCTTTCATAGCGCTACTGTGAAGATGTTGAATGAGCCGATCGTGTTCTTCGTCGATGTTGTGGAAAACGGCAACTTCCCAATAGCCGGTGAATTGAATAAGACCCAGTTCACGGATGTTTTGGAACGTCGTTTTTTGAATTTAGAGGCTTTTTCTCCTTTCCGCAAGAAATGGAGTCCTTGCACTGAGACGGTGGCCTAATCCCGTTTAATAATTTGAGACAACAGGAATATTGGTAAGACTAAAGCTTTCATTTACTGTCATGTGATTTATTTTGATATGGTATTCTCCATTGGGAGACTCCCACGTTCAGTGTTGAGGGTGGAGCTTTTGGAATTGTGAGCTACCATCGATGGTCATGGTCGTCGTGATAAACTCAGAAAGCCGCTCACCTTATTCGTTCAATTCTAATCCGTGGGTGCCAATGTGACGTTCTTCAGACCTTCTTCTGGGTCCATAAGAATGTATGGTCTTCTCCGTAGAACTTCTCCAAATTCGTATAGAACGCTTGGTCTTCTTCTTCGTCATAGTTTGACGTCGCCACGTAAACGGCGAAGATTGCCAGAGCCGGTTTTGATCCATATCTCTTTAGTCGTAAACGTCCGGTTCGGATTGTTAGTTGTTCGAATAAATCAATGCTCATGGCCAAACTTGTGCTGACGAGCGCGCCGACACCGCCGATTCTTTTACTGTCCCCTACCCAACGCTACTGAATCCGGGTTTTTTCGGGATCTGGGAATGAGGACCGCTTCTTTTACTGTGTTTAGCTTTTGATACCCACGTATCAACTGGCTGCGTTAGCTTATTGAGCTCTGAACGTGGAGGCTGGGTATACTCGTGGGTAGCTTTCCAGATTCTCCCAGAGTGAACATGGAGCTTAATTGTTGGAGGCGACTCCTAACCACCTCCCATATACTTCCGTATCATTTGATTGCAGGCTTTTGGCCGAATTGACTCGAGGAATACAATCCGCTTGAGCGATAACGCAACCACACACGCATTCATGAATACCATTCGCAAATACAGAAAGTATGTGCTAAATCGGGGCAGCAGTCCATCCCCTGGATTCACCTGCGTCTCAGAGAAACACACGGTCACTTTTGGTCCGCGATTAACCCCCTATCCACCACCTGGGGGCGCGCCACGAAGCCTCGCGACTAACCGGCTCGAGATCCCTTATATGAGCGAGGTCCGCAAGATTGCGTGTAAATTCCGTTTTCAGACTTCAAACCCTTGTTGAATATTTTTAGATTTAAGGTTTTATCCGTGATGTTATAGATGGAGATAAAGACGACCTTTTGGACGAATTCCGGACTACCGATGATGGTGAATTCTACCTAAAAGGAGGAACATATGAAGACACTCCTATAGAACCAGCTCTCAAGATTTATCACGACTGTGACCATAAACACAAGGTAAATCTGGAGAATCACGATTGTGACAAACTTTAAATCTGAAAGGACCTATCGATTCCTTCCTTTCCACATTTATCGTCCTCCACTACAAATTCTTTATTAAGCCGTGCAAACGTCGTGTTTATTGGATGCTTCCTGCCAAATACATTAACAATGGAACAATTACGGAATGGATGGACATCGGTTCCATCAATATGGAAATAAACTTCGGAAACGAGGAACGAGACTGTCGTCATTAATAACACCACACTTTTCATGAAGTCATATTTCTACATCTTGATATTGCTGGCAACCCCAAACGCATTATACGCATTGTATACAACTTGTCGTAAGATGCCATTTGAAACGAACTACATTTGGAAAAAAAGTTGTACTCGAACATCCGTTCAAGTTTGCAGAGGTGATGTTGGGATAACTAACAACTTGACAAACTCTGTTATATTGCGCTAAACATATCATAAAATTTAAGGGAAATGTGAACGAATCCAATATAATTGGTGACCCCAAGCAAGTGTTGAATTCTCCATCGTGGCGAATGACATTATCGAGCTGAAAGCGGATTTTATGCAGCCATTTGTTTCTAAACATTTATAGGTAACTCTAAACTCTAAGATAGATGTTCTTTTTTTCTGCAGCACCGGACGCATCCCACACAGTGAACGATCATTCGCTCGTTTTCAAATAACCGTTTAATAAACTTCATGCCCTCTTATGAGAGATGTTAAGGCGCTCTATTCATAAACGACGGCTTGACCACGTCATGTTTCAAAAACAACCATAGTTTCTGGATACATCACGAAGCAATTACCACCATGACCAACTTTCGGATAACCTCGGCAGTGACAAAATAATACATTGTTTTCTTATTGAGTATACACGACGTTTTTAAAGACAAGATTTATTCAGTACAATGCCCGCTGACGTTTCCGTGGTTTCACGTTCATCAGCGTCTAGAAAAGTCAAATTGACACACATTCACTCAGTTAAACACTTTCGTAACGCCAGCAGAAAAAAAGACAACTTGCTGCAAAAATTTTTCTCCGCAGAGTAAACTTCTATTAAACACTCACCGCTTTATTTCATTATTTAATGGAAATCAGTAGCACAGAATCAAAATTGTGCTCGGAACATTTGAGAAAAATCACGTAGAGAAACGCCGGCAAGGTAAGGTCTTATCACAAAGACGCTTACTTAGCGATTACTTGAACTTGATACTTGAACGGCCCGTCCTCACTAGTTGCGCGGGCCCCAACATAATCAACACTTTTCGGAGATTTGCTAGTTAAACCATTGTGGTTCCCTGGAATCCCGAGGTCAGTGTGGCCAAAGTCTGCCCTAGACCTTCACCACCACGGGCACTCACAGCCCTTGTGGATCAGAGGGAGATTTGCCACCAAGTGACTTTGATACTAGGACGGTGGTGGATCCTGGTATTGGTTTACTCTTAGCTAGGCTTCCTGATAAAAACACCGGACTCCTTCTCAGCTTGGGAGACCCTGCCGGGAGGACGAATCCCCGTTGTACACCGCCGCAGTCCGATACCCAGAAACACCTCTTAGCCACGATGAGGCAGTAAACCGTTGGGGGGTACGTAGCGATTGGTTTTTCGATTTTTGGAATTTGTCCAAAACGCGTCAAGACTTTCTCGTACAGATATTTTATATTCCTGTGCGAGGATACTGACCTAATTGGGAAACTTGAAGTCAAGCAGAATACTCTACTAGGTCACAATGCATAACGGTAAGATTTTGCAGTGCTTCGCCGAAGTTGAGTTTGAAGCTACAGCACCCGATCCTCGGCTACTACTCTACTCTAGTTATATCAATGACTGTCTGCTCATCTGTTTTGTTTAACACAAGAAGAGATGAGGAAGTGTTTTGAAATACTAGACCAACGGCCACAGAATGTAAATTTTACCCGAGAGAAACCGATGGAAAAGTGACATCCGTTCTTCAACGTTCAACTCAACCTAGCAAGAAAGAGTACATCACAAGATGGCATCAAAAGCCAAATAACAAAAATACACCGATCTATTACACCTCCCACTCATCAGCTACAAAAAGGACACTTGTGTGAAACATGCTTCAAACAGACGCCAGCATGTGGACAAGAAGAAAGCAAAAAGGAGAACCCTAAATTTGATGGGGAAATAACAATTTCCTGTGGCTACGAAGCCATATCTTTTCGGGATGGCCGTAGAAAAAAATCACTGTTCGAAACGAAAATCCTAGCGAAGATGAGGACCCATTTATCCTTCACTCCATTTATTGCAAAATAATCGAGTCTGTGGCATATCCAAAGCAGATGATGTACCTGGGTCCAGCCATGGAAAGGTGAAGTATTAATAATTCATCACTTACGATTAGTCAAACAACCTAATCAGAACTATTTGCTTCACTGGTTGCATCTATTGTCGACGCGTTTGCTTCCTATACCAAGCGATATACAGTCGCGATTTCCAGCTATAAAGGCTGTCGCGGAAGAAGCAAGATAAACGATTCGAAGGAAAAATTAGACGCATTAGCACTAATAGAACAAACTATCCCATGGAAACCAGGCGGTGAAGCAGAAAGTTTTCGATAGACTGGAAGGCCTCCAAAACAACCTGGATGTGGTGACGATGAGGATCTGAAAGAGCAGCACGAGACACAGAAGGAAGGCCATAAGGACATTCAACTAATGAAAAAATGCACAAGAGGTCTGATTTAGTTCGAAGGTCCAGTTGCGCAGTGTCAACGCGCACTTTTATCTAACGCTTCTAGTTCAAGTTTGTCGTTCTCCAACTTGATCTTGAGCTTATACAGAGCTTATGCGATCATAGGCAAAGTTTCCTTAGAAATGGGTTGTGATGGTATGGAACCTGGGCCCAATTCTAATAGAAAGAGCGCGTCGTCAAGAACAGTCGTGCATCTTAACACGGTGGCCTCAAAACTGCAAGTGATTATTTAAAATCCGATTGTTCTCTAACAAAGGTGGTTTCTCAGAAACTAAGAGCGGTAGTATTTTTTCGAGACGCAATTCATCAGTTGATCGAACATCTTATTTTGTTTACATCATAGGGAGCAGCACAGCCGTATCCGACATTTGCTATCCGCCCTTTAGTAAACCGCATAGTTTAGGTAGTGGTTTTTTTTTTTTAGTAAATCTCCAAACCATGAAGTTCCTTCATATAAGACATCTCGAGCCAGTTAGTTTCGAAGCTACGTGGCAAGTCTCCAGGTGGCGCAAAGGGGCTAACCGAAGACCAAAAGCGACTGTATGCTTCCCTGAGGGCGCAGGTGGACCCAGGTGGTTCGCTCAAATCTAGAGTTGCGTTAGTCGTCACAGGATAAGAATCAAAACAGCTTGTCTATCAAATATAGAAATATATTAGCCTCCTTAGTACTGTAGCTCACATCAAGTCCAATAAAATTATCGTAGAAAGATCAAAATCGACAATACAAATGTACGGTAACTGGATATGTTCGGTGAAACTGGTGAACCGTGTGGCAGTCATGCTAAGAAAATTCGATCTTTTGTCACACAGTTGTACCTTACCTTTCACGTTGACCCACTAGAAATCGTTTAACCTGCTTACTTAGCTAACCTGTATCGTAAATCTCTCGATGTGAACAATCAGTCTCATACACGAATTTATGCGGCGATGTACTAGAGTCACTTTCTCATTAACAGACACGGCACTCATTTGACGCTGACACAGTACTATGTCTTCATATTACCCTTTTGTTTGCGGCCTACGGCTTACCGCAATTGTTCACGTCGGAGTGCTATGTGAAATACAACCATGATAGGTAGAAAATTAGCTGAGAGAAAGGTGGAACAAGGACCTGCGTGATGTGGTGGTAAACATGTTAACTTCTGAGTTCTTACTACTTCATTTCCTTCTCAAAGGCAACCAAAATCCTAGAGTAGCCTCAGTGTCGACATCAAAGATGGTTCCAACACGGTTACATCGTCTTCTCAAAATGGTTGGCCCCACCCTCGAAATACGAAATCTGAAATGTCATAACACAGGATTTAAAGTGCCAATGCTACACTATCTTCGTTTTTCCGAAACTAAACCTTATGCCAAGGATTAGATAAGCGTCGCGAATGGTTAACACAGTGCATATGAGGAGATCAATCTTTGCTTGAATCTAAAGGGAACGGTGTTCTTGAGTTTCCTTTTCCACTTTACCTCTAAGATCGACAAAACAAACATCTAGGAGCGCTTGAGCTACTTATATATAGATCAGAAGGTCAATATGATAAGTAAGCTATTTAGTTCCATCTTCGAAGAAGAGCTAATGAGCGGTATGTAAAGTTTACTAGACTAAGATGTATTGAAGAAGGAAAGAACACCTAGCTTCGAGCTCACCTACTCGATGATTCGCCTTGAACTCATAATACAGCTTAAGAACTTGAAAGCTGAATAAACAAGACGCTGTGTGATCTATACCAAACGGAAGCGGAAATTTGAAGTTCCAATCTATGTAAAAGTATCATGTGTTTCTTCTAGCTTTTCGTGAAGAACTCTGACCATCGGATCGGTGGTCTTCTACAGTGCGTTTAACATCCCGAGGAATCCAGTCACTAACGGCTCTTGTCTATCGGTTGTCGTTAATAGGCATTACGCGTCCGGCCCACCTTATCTTTGACGCCTTGGCGTACAGAAAGGCATCTTTGATTTTTGATCGCTGGCGCAGGTTAGAGCTTCCAATCCCTTCCTTTACTTGCGTAGTACGGGGTACTCCTAGCATTGCCCTTTCGACTGCGCTTTCAATAACACTAAATGATTTTTTATCCTGTTTACGCAGCGACCAGGTTTTTGAAGCATATGTTAACACAGGAACTATCGTTGAGTCGAAAACGTGGGCACTGTTTTCCGCACTACATCCTCGATGCTCTTGAAAGCTCCCCAAGCCGCTCGTTTCCTTCTGCTCAACTCCAGAGCCAAGTCGTTCATTATGTTGATTTCCCGACCTGAATAAGCATAACTGGAGCATTTGGAGATATACGTTTCGTTGAGCGTAAATGGGCCATACGAAACCAATCCATTCCTCATGGACGTCGTTTTGTGGGATTTACCCGAAGACCAATCTTTCCACAAGCTCTATCAAAGTCAGCAAGCATTCGTTCCACGTGGTTAATGTCTGGTGCTGTAAGGACAATATCAACAGCAAAGGGATAATGGTGGAACTGCCGACCATCGATTTTCACTCCTATATTATCCCATTAAAATCTTCGCATGACGTTCTGA